TATAAAAGTGACTTATTGAATTTGACTTATCATAATCTGTACTTAAAATTATGTGTTAAAAAAAGTACATATACATGCCTTTAAAATTTCCTCTTTTTTTTAAAATTAATGACTAACTTTCCCTGGTCCTAACTTCTGAAACTTAATTTCTCATGATTTAAAAACCTTAATTTATTTCTTAATCAATTTTAGTGTGGCAAAGAGTCTCAATCATTTCTCATTGTAGTTGTACTGTGTTGGTACTGGGCTGGTCAACATTGAAAGAACGACGCCGACTATCCAGGTTCTCCATGTTGTACAAGATCAAAAATGGGCTGGTCCACTGCTCCGGCATCAAACAGAAACTCGTTCATCTTTCCCCTGGACAGCGACGAGGCCACGACAGACAGTTTCGGCTGGTAAAAACAAGAACAAAGTACAGGAGCTCCTCATTCCAGCCGAAGACAACAGGGGACTGGAACAAGCTTCCAAGCAAAACAGTTGAGGCGACTACACTCGACACATTTGCGTATCATGCCTCCTGTATTCCAACCGCCAGTTCTTAACACCACTGCTGAGTCGCCCTTGCAACCAGTGTAGTATCCCTTTGAAACCCATGCACAGTAACATCGCAAACCCCTCTGAAACATATGAGCCAGAACGATCAATTCATTGATCGTGGGCCCTCAAAATAAAGAAGAAGAAGAAGAAGAAGAAGAAGGGATCTTCTTAAAGCTATCACGTAGGTAAACATGAAGCTTGTTATTTCATGCCACAACACGTCATCGAAAGCCATTATTTATCAAATAACATTTCATTGACTCCTCTTTCATGATTTTTTTTCTGGTTTATTCGCTTCTCCTTCCCTCAGAATGAAAAGCTAAATCCACTGATTAGATTATAGCCAATATGTTCAGAGTAACAGTAGGCCTATCACATAACAGTGAGTAGGAACTGATGATTCAACTCCAATAATGCCAATATAGCCAATATGTTCAGAGTAACAGTAGGCCTATCACATAACAGTGAGTAGGAACTGATGATTCAACTCCAATAATGCCAATATAGCCAATATGTTCAGAGTAACAGTAGGCCTATCACATAACAGTGAGTAGGAACTGATGATTCAACTCCAATAATGCCAATATAGCCAATAGTTTCAGAGTAACAGTAGGCCTATCACATAATAGTGAGTAGGAACTGATGATTCAACTCCAATAATGCCAATATAGCCAATAGTTTCAGAGTAACAGTCGGCCTATCACATAACAGTGAGTAGGAACTGATGATTCAACTCCAATAATGCCAATATAGCCAATAGTTTCAGAGTAACAGTAGGCCTATCACATAATAGTGAGTAGGAACTGATGATTCAACTCCAATAATGCCAATATAGCCAATAGTTTCAGAGTAACAGTCGGCCTATCACATAACAGTGAGTAGGAACTGATGATTCAACTCCAATAATGCCAATATAGCCAATAGTTTCAGAGTAACAGTCGGCCTATCACATAACAGTGAGTAGGAACTGATGATTCAACTCCAATAATGCCAAGAGTATTTTATCTCCGCAACGTTTTTGTCTTCTTTTTTTCCATGACATTTGGACGAAAATGTTTCCATAGAGAGAGAAACGTGCCGCCAGGGCCGGCAACCATCCCATTTCCCTACGCCACTGCCTGGCAAAGACAACAAATGTTTTGATAGTCCGTTTCGTCATCAAAGCATGCGGACTAACTAGGACACGGTTTAACACTAGCACTTGACACAGTGGCAAACTGATGTGTAGAAGCTTTGACACAGTGGCCAACTGATGTGTAGAAGCTTGACACAGTTGCCAACTGATGTGTAGAAGCTTTGACACAGTGGCCAACTGATGTGTAGAAGCTTGACACAGTGGCCAACTGATGTGTGGAAGCTTGACATAGTGGCCAACTGATGTGTGGAAGCTTGACATAGTGGCCAACTGATGTGTGGAAGCTTGACATAGTGGCCAACTGATAAGTGGAAGCTGGTGGAACAATCTGTAAGGTTAGTGAGTGTTGTAAATCTATTAATAGAAACACGTCAGTTTAAACCGATTCGGTCAGCCCCTACCACAGTTTTCTAACTGCATACACAGTAAAACCTGCGTTTGATGACTTCTTATCAACTGGAAAAGGGTATGTCTTGCATGGGTGGGGAAGTGATGGTGAAGGTTGATGATATGACGTTTGTAAACAATGTCACGTGACTCTATTACAGCTCATGGCTGTACATAATAATGACATGTTTAAGTATCGTGTATAGTACGGTCAATGGGGTCTAAGATAGTTCAATAGAGATCTGCATTCTTTTGTTAATAAAGAGAGTCGATCTTTTGTTGACAATGTATTCTTCCATCTACACTTCAGAATAGAAGGGCATATTACAGAGTCAACTACACTTTAGAATAGAAGGGCATATTAAAGAGCCAACTACACTTCAGAATAGAAGGGCATATTAAAGAGCCAACTACACTTCAGAATAGAAGGGCATATTAAAGAGCCAACTACACTTCAGAATAGAAGGACATATGAAAGAGCCAAATACACTTCAGGGCAACTTGAAAAGCTAAGAATGTAGTTTTTTTTTTTTTAATGCAAAAATACATTATTTTACATATGTTACATATTTTATGGTAATCCTGCAGTTACAACACAAGGACTGTGTGTGTGTATGCGTTTAATTGCACCATACAATACTGTGTCATAGATTAGTGGGCACACCAAACCAAATTAATAAAGACAAGACACACCATTTAAGAGTTACAAATAAATATCAGCTGTGTCGGTAAGTAGCAGCGTCCTTCATGTTTGACTAATGTACAAAATTAAGATACGATTGATAATATGAAATGTCTCATCAATCTGTAAGGAAAAAAGCACACCACATCTTCTTCTCCTTCTTCTTCTTTATTTTGAGGGCCCACGATCAATGAATTGATCATTATGGCTCCTATGTTTCATAAGGGTTTGCGATGTTACTGTGGGGAAGAGGGAGAGAGAAGCAAATAAACCAGTAAAAAAAATTCATGAATGAGGAGTCAATGAAATGTTATTTGATAAATTATGTCTTTCGATGACGTGTGGTGGCATGAAATAACAAGCTTCATGTTTACCTACGTGATAGCTTTAATAAGATCCCTTCTTCTTCTTCTTCTTCTTTATTTTAAGGGCCCACGATCAATGAATTGATCATTATGGCTCCTATGTTTCAGAGGGGTTTGCGATGTTACTGTGCATTGGTTTCAATGGGATACTTCACTGGTTGCAAGGGTGACTCAGCAGTGGTGTTATGAACTGGGGGTTGGAATACAGGAGGCAATAGACACAAATGTGTCGAGTGTAGTCGCCTCAACTGTTGCTTTTGGAAGCTTATTCCAGTCCCCTGTTGTCTTCGGCAGGAATGAGGAGCTCCTGTACTTTGTTCTTGTTATTACCAGCCGGACTGTCTGTCGTGGCCTCGTCGCTGTCTAGGGGGAAGATGAACGAGTTTCTGTTTGATACCGGAGCAGTGGACCAGCCCATTTTTGATCTTGTACAACATGGTGAGCCTGGATAGTCGTCGTCGTTCTTCCAATGTCGACCAGCCCAGTGTTTCTAGCATGCTGCCAACACTTGAGGTGTTTCTGTAGCGGTTCATGACACAGCGTGCTGCCCGTCGCTGGACCGCCTCCAACCTGTCGATGCTTTTCTGGATAAATGGGTCCCAGACTGTTGAGCGTACTCTAAAATAGGCCGGACAAAGGCATTATAGGCTTTTTCTTTCACGCTTGAGTTTCCGATCTTCAGATTTCACCTTAGTAACCCCAGGGTCTTGTTTGCCCGATTGCACACACTGTTAATGTGCTCGTCCCAGCGGACCTCTTTTTGAATGGTAACACCCAAGTACTTGACGGAGGAAACTGGCTCAAGAATATGGCCATGCAGTTCGTAAGAGTGGTTTAGAGGGAATCTGCTTCTGGAGCCTGACAGGGTCTGGCACTTGACGGGATGAAATTCCATGTCCCAGCTCATCATACTTTTAAAAAAAAATGTTCATGAAGATTTATGAGAGTCGCACTAATGTCAACTCTTGTAATTCACACACATTTTACAACAAAGTAGTATCACCTCACCGGTTGAAAACCTCTCATAGAACTGTAAACAAAGTAGTATCACCTCACCGGTTGAAAACCTCTCATAGAACTGTAAACAAAGCAATATCACCTCACCGGTTGAAAACCTCTCATAGAACTGTAAACAAAGTAGTATCACCTCACCGGTTGAAAACCTCTCATATAACTCTAAACAGAAGAAGTATCACTTCACCGGTTGAAAACCTCTCATATAACTGTAAACAAAGTAGTATAACTTCACCGGTTGAAAACCTCTCATATAACTGTAAACAAAGTAGTATCACCTCACCGGTTGAAAACCTCTCATATAACTGTAAACAAAGTAGTATAACTTCACCGGTTGAAAACCTCTCATAGAACTGTAAACAAAGTAGTATCACCTCACCGGTTGAAAACCTCTCATAGAACTGTAAACAAAGTAGTATCACCTCACCGGTTGAAAACCTCTCATATAACTCTAAACAAAGAAGTATCACTTCACCGGTTGAAACCTCTCATAGAACTGTAAACAAAGTAGTATCACTTCACCGGTTGAAAACCTCTCATAGAACTGTAAACAAAGTAGTATCACATCACCGGTTGAAAACCTCTCATATAACTGTAAACAAAGTAGTATCACTTCACCGGTTGAAAACCTCTCATAGAACTGTAAACAAAGTAGTATCACCTCACCGGTTGAAAACCTCTCATAGAACTGTAAACAAAGTAGTATCACTTCACCGGCTGAAAACCTCTCATATAACTGTAAACAAAGTAGTATCACCTCACCGGTTGAAAACCTCTCATAGAACTGTAAACAAAAAAAAAATATATATATTCTTCAGAAAGATCTAGCAAATAGTGTATTTAATGACGTAGCCATTTCTTCCTTTTATATGCGTCCAGCTGAATGTATGGTCTGAAGTAATTATGTCTGCAGCCGAACATACCATCGACGTCATTATACTTGGGGAGGAAGGTATTGGGAAGACAAGTCTGGCAAGGACCTTAACCGAAGGAGCATTTCCAGTGGCGGACTCATTATTTCCCCTGTAAGTGGTGGAACGTTTTTTGTTCTAGTTAATCATTAAATAGTCAATGTCTCATTAAATTAATATTCTGTCTGAAATTTTAAGAGAATATTTTTTCTGCCGATCAATGCAATTTTTGCGTTTATTATTTTTATTTTAAAATGTATTATTATGTGAGCTATGACCTTTGATACTTTTATACAATCACTAACATAATGAAATACTAAATACTAAACACTAAAAAAATGAAAGATAAAGGATATTGATCCTTGAGAGTAACACCAACTCTTAAATTGATCCTCGAGAGTAACACCAACTCTTAAATTGATCCTCGAGAGTAACACCAACTCTTAAATTGATCCTCTAGAGTAACACCAACTCTTAAATTGATCCTCTAGAGTAACACCAACTCTTAAATTAATCCTCGAGAGTAACACCAACTCTTAAATTGATCCTCGAGAGTAACACCAACTCTTAAATTGATCATCGAGAGTAACACCAACTCTTAAATTGATCCTCGAGAGTAACACCAACTCTTAAATTGATCCTCGAGAGTAACACCAACTCTTAAATTGATCATCGAGAGTAACACCAACTCTTAAATTGATCCTCTAGAGTAACACCAACTCTTAAATTGATCGAGCTCTCATTGTGGTTGAGAATTTAACTAGATCGAGAGTAACACCAACTCTTAAATTGATCCTCTAGAGTAACACCAACTCTTAAATTGATCCTCGAGAGTAACACCAACTCTTAAATTGATCCTCGAGAGTAACATCAACTCTTAAATTGATCCTCGAGAGTAACACCAACTCTTAAATTGATCATCGAGAATAACACCAACTCTTAAATTGATCCCCTAGAGTAACACCAACTCTTAAATTGATCCTCTAGAGTAACACCAACTCTTAAATTGATCCTCGAGAGTAACACCAACTCTTAAATTGATCCTCGAGAGTAACACCAACTCTTAAATTGATCATCGAGAGTAACACCAACTCTTAAATTGATCCCCTAGAGTAACACCAACTCTTAAATTGATCCTCGAGAGTAACATCAACTCTTAAATTGATCCTCGAGAGTAACACCAACTCTTAAATTGATCATCGAGAGTAACACCAACTCTTAAATTGATCCCCTAGAGTAACACCAACTCTTAAATTGATCCTCTAGAGTAACACCAACTCTTAAATTGATCCTCTAGAGTAACATCAACTCTTAAATTGATCCTCGAGAGTAACACCAACTCTTAAATTGATCATCGAGAGTAACACCAACTCTTAAATTGATCCTCTAGAGTAACACCAACTCTTAAATTGATCCTCGAGAGTAACACCAACTCTTAAATTAATCCTCTAGAGTAACACCAACTCTTAAATTGATCCTCGAGAGTAACACCAACTCTTAAATTGATCATCGAGAGTAACACCAACTCTTAAATTGATCCCCTAGAGTAACACCAACTCTTAAATTGATCCTCTAGAGTAACACCAACTCTTAAATTGATCCTCTAGAGTAACATCAACTCTTAAATTGATCCTCGAGAGTAACACCAACTCTTAAATTGATCATCGAGAGTAACACCAACTCTTAAATTGATCCTCTAGAGTAACACCAACTCTTAAATTGATCCTCGAGAGTAACACCAACTCTTAAATTGATCCTCTAGAGTAACACCAACTCTTAAATTGATCCTCGAGAGTAACACCAACTCTTAAATTGATCCTCGAGAGTAACACCAACTCTTAAATTGATCCTCGAGAGTAACACCAACTCTTAAATTGATCCTCGAGAGTAACACCAACTCTTAAATTGATCCTCGAGAGTAACACCAACTCTTAAATTGATCCTCGAGAGTAACACCAACTCTTAAATTGATCCTCGAGAGTAACACCAACTCTTAAATTAATCCTCGAGAGTAACACCAACTCTTAAATTGATCCTCGAGAGTAACACCAACTCTTAAATTGATCCTCGAGAGTAACACCAACTCTTAAATTGATCCTCTAGAGTAACACCAACTCTTAAATTGATCCTCGAGAGTAACACCAACTCTTAAATTGATCCTCGAGAGTAACACCAACTCTTAAATTGATCCTCGAGAGTAACACCAACTCTTAAATTGATCCTCGAGAGTAACACCAACTCTTAAACACAAGCCGTATTAATATTTTAACTCACAAACAAAAATATTATTTTTTAACCAGCAATCAGGCTGCTATGTAAATTTTGTTTTAATGTGAAAAAGGCAAAGCAGAACCAAATTAATACTTAGAATGGACTTCGATAGCAACTGACATTATACATTAATTATAGTTTTGAATGTAATATATGTAAATATTGAGGTATCTGATGAGTACTATCGCCCCAGGACACAGGCATGGGTTCATTGGAATAGTCAAGTAGTTATTTATGCAAAGCAGCTTGTTATTTACATTTTGAAATAGTATTTGTCAAGTGGCGTGTAAAGCACATATTAAGTCAAGGAGGGGGTGGAGAAAAGAATTAAAAAGTGAAGGAGAACGTGACATTCATGCCAGGTGGTCAATGACATTCATACCATGTGTTATCAGTGACATTCATGCTATGTGTTATCAGTGACATTCATGCCATGTTGTGTCAGTGACATTCATGCCAGGTGGTGTCAAGGTCCTTTCGTCAGGTTTTCCCATACCTCGTTTTTAACAATGTTGCTTGCTGTCTCTCCCACAGCCCACCCCCCTTATCAACTATCAACTAATAATGACTACTGCTTCCACATTAGAATGACCAATACTTCTACATTATAATAATTAATGCTTCTACCTTGCAATGACGAAAACTTCCACCTTAGAATGACCAATACTTCTACATTATAATAATTAATGCTTCTACCTTGCAATGACGAAAATTTCCACCTTAGAATGACCAATACTTCTACATTATAATAATTAATGCTTCTACCTTGCAATGACGAAAACTTCCACCTTAGAATGACCAATACTTCAACATTATAATAATTAATGCTTCTACCTTGCAATGACGAAAACTTCCACCTTAGAATGACCAAACATTATCCTTTAAAATGACCAATTATCCTACCTTAGCGTGATCAAAACTTCTACCTTAACACGACCAATACTTCTACCTTACAATGACTAATAAATCTACTTTTGAATGACCAATACCTCTACCTTAGAATGACCAATACTTCTACCTTACATTGACCAAAACATTATACCTTAAAATGATCAATACTTGTCAGTTAGAGTGACCAATACATCTACCTTAGAATGACCACCACTGCACGGGTAAATTTACAAAAACACATCACCCACATTTTTTAGGCAGAGTTACGAACGGAGTAGGAAAGACATCTTCCACAAGTTGTCCTATATTCTCTAGTTTTCCTTTTGTCAAACCTATTCTCTACTTTGATTTTTTTCAAACCAATTCTCTAGTTTTCCTCTTGTTAAACCCATTTCCTTGTTTTCCTTTATTCAAACCAATTCTCTAGTTTTCCTCTTGTTAAACCCATTTCCTTGTTTTCCTTTATTCAAACCAATTCTCTAGTTTTCCTCTTGTTAAACCCATTTCCTTGTTTTCCTTTATTCAAACCAATTCTCTAGTTTTCCTCTTGTTAAACCCATTTCCTTGTTTTCCTTTATTCAAACCAATTCTCTAGTTTTTCTTTTTATCTAAATCCATTCTCTAGGAACGTGGCCTTTCAAGTCTGTTGTACCAACGTGGAGACGAGTCTTTCAGCATTCGACCATGTCTATCACATCCGTGTTCACGAGCCGTCAGACAGTGCCTCCATTAAAACAACTCTTAACAAGGTCAGTCTAAATATAGCAACACAAAGGTATGTCTAAATATAGCAACTCATAGGTCAATCCAAATATAGTGACACATTCATTGGTGATCACTTACCATTTGTTTCTGTAAGGTCTTAATCGCTTAATATTACCAATAATTCCATAACCACTAACTCACAGCCCATTGGTCGCGATCCCAAATAAGGGTAAAAAGGTTGGAAAAGGGGGGGGGGGGCTGTTCTAGAGGGTTGCGACTACAACAGTTCAAGAAATAATTAATAAATACACATTGATAATTAATCAGTGTTTAAAAAAGTTGTTGCACTTTGATTATAATTAAATTTGAAATATCAATTTCCCATGGATCTTAAATCAGTTTTCTTGATGTGTTTCTTTTTTAATGTATCCGGTGCACAGGTAACTTGTCTAACAGACAGCTCTCATAACAAATTGCGCTAAGGGCACGTTATGGTATTCCATCTAGACATCAACCTTAAGCCACATGATGCGATTCTCTCTAGCCACCAAACTAAAGTCATATTATGGTATTCTCTCTAGCCAACAAACTTAAGTCACATGATAGTATTCTCTCTAGCCATTAACCTAAAGTCACATGATGCTATTCTCTCTAGCCAGCAACCTAAAGTCACATGATGCTATTCTCTCTAGCCAGCAACATAAAGTCACATGATGCCATTCTCTCTAGCCACCAACCTAAAGTCACATGATGCTATTCTCTCTAGCCACCAAACAAAAGTCACGTGATTCTATTGCCTCTAACCACCAACCTAAAGTCACATGATGCTATTCTCTCTAGCCACAAACCTAAAGTCACATGATGCTATTCTCTCTAGCCCCCAACCTAAAGTCACATGATGCTATTCTCTCTAGAAGGAAACCTAAAGTCACATGATGCTATTCTCTCTAGCCATCAACCTAAAGTCAAATGATGCTATTCTCTCTAGTCAAAAACCTAAAGTTACATGATACTATTCTCTCTAGCCACTAACTTAAAGTCACATGATGCCATTCTCTCTAGCCACCAACCTAAAGTGACATGATGCTATTCTCTCTAGCCACCAACCTAAAGTCACGTGATTCTATTCCCTCTAGCCATTAACTTAAAGTCACATGATGCTATTCTCTCTAGCCACCAACCTAAAGTCACATGATGCTATTCTCTCTAGCCACTAACTTAAAGTCACATGATGCTATTCTCTCTAGCCAGCAATCTAAAGTCACAGGATGCTATTCTCTCTAGCCACCAAACTTAAGTCATATTATGGTATTCTCTCTAGCCAACAAACTTAAGTCACATGATAGTATTCTCTCTAGCCATTAACCTAAAGTCACATGATGCTATTCTCTCTAGCCAGCAACCTAAAGTCACACGTAGCTATTCTCTCTAGCCACCAACCTAAAGTCACAAGATGCTAATCTCTCTAGCCACCAACCTAAAGTCACATGATGCTATTCTCTCTAGCCACTAACCTAAAGTCACATGATGCTATTCTCTCTAGCCAGCAACCTAAAGTCACATGATGCTATTCTCTCTAGCCACCAACCTAAAGTCAAATGATGCTATTCTCTCTAGCCACCAACATAAAGTCACATGACGTTCTTCTCTCTAGCCACCAACTCAAAGTCACATGTAGCTATTCTCTCTAGTCACCAACCTAAAGTCACATGATGCTATTCTCTCTAGCCATTAACCTAAAGTCACATGATGCTATTCTCTCTAGCCACCAACCTAAAGTCAAATGATGCTATTCTCTCTAGCCACCAACATAAAGTCACTTGACGTTCTTCTCTCTAGCCACCAACTTAAAGTCACATGTAGCTATTCTCTCTAGCCACCAACCTAAAGTCACATGATGCTATTCTCTCTAGCCACTAACCTAAAGTCAAATGATGCTATTCTCTCTAGCCACCAACCTAAAGTCACATGATGCCATTCTCTCTAGCCAGCAACCTAAAGTCACATGATGCTATTCTCTCTAGCCACTAACCAAAATTAACATGATGCTATTCTCTCTAGCCACTAACCTAAAGTCACATGATGCTATTCTCTCTAGGCACTAACATAAAGTCACATGATGCTATTCTTTCTAGCCACTAACCTAAATTCAAATGATGCTATTCTCTCTAGCCAGCAACATAAAGTCACATGATGCCATTCTCTCTAGCCACCAACCTAAAGTCACATGATGCTATTGTCTCTAGCCACCAACCTAAAGTCACGTGATTCTATTCCCTGTAGCCACAAACCTAAAGTCACATGATGCTATTCTCTCTAGCCACCAACCTAAAGTCACATGATGCTATTCTCTCTAGCCACCAACCTAAAGTCACATGATGCTATTCTCTCTAGCCAGAAACCTAAAGTCACATGATGGTATTCTCTCTAGCCATCAACCTAAAGTCACATGATGCTATTCTCTAGTCACTAACCTAAAGTTACATGATACTCTTCTCTCTAGCCACTAACTTAAAGTCACATGATGCCATTCTCTCTAGCCACCAACCTAAAGTCACATGATTCTATTCTCTCTAGCCACCAACCTAAAGTCACATGATGCTATTCTCTCTAGCCAGAAACCTAAAGTCACATGATGCTATTCTCTCTAGCCATCAACCTAAAGTCACATGATTCTATTCCCTCTAGCCAGCAACCTAAAGTCACATGATGCTATTCTCTCTAGCCACCAACCTAAAGTCATATGATGCTATTCTCTCTAGCCACCAACCTAAAGTCACATGATGCTATTCCCTCTAGCCATTAACTTAAAGTCACATGATGGTATTCCCTCTAGCCAGCAACCTAAAGTCACATGATGCTATTCTCTCTAGCCACTAACTTAAAATCGAATGATGCTATTCTCTCTAGCCACAAACCTAAAGTCACATGATGCTATTCTCTCTAGCCACTAAACTAAAGTCACATGATGCTATTCTCTCTAGCCGCTAAACTAAATTCACATGATGCTATTCTCTCTAGCAACCAACCTAAGGTCACTTGATGCTATTCTCTCTAGCCACCAACCTAAAGTCACATGATTGTATTCTCTCTAGCCATTTACCTAAAGTCACATGATGCTATTCTCTCTAACCATTAACTTAAAGTCAAATGATGCTATTCTCTCTAGTCATTAACCTAAAGTCACATGATGCTATTCTCTCTAGTCACTAACCTAAAGTCACATGATGCTATTCTCTCTAGCCAGCAACCTAAAGTCACATGATGCTATTCTCTATAGCCGCTAACCTAAAGACACATGAGGCTATTCTCTCTAGCCACCAACCTAAAGTCACATGATGCTATTCTCTCTAGCCAACAACCTAAAGTCACATGATGCTATTCTCTTTAGCTAGCAACCTAAAGTCACATGATGCTATTCTCTCTAGCCAGCAACCTAAAGTCACATGATGCTATTCTCTCTAGCCACCAACCTAAAGTCACATGATGTTATTCTCTCTAGCCACTAACTTAAAGTCACATGATGGTATTCTCTCTAGCCACCAACCTAAAGTCACATGATGCTATTCTCTCTAGCCAGCAACCTAAAGTCTCATGATGCTATTCTCTCTAGCCACTAATCTAAAGTCACATGATGCTATTCTCTCTAGCCACTAACCTAAAGTCACATGATGCTATTCTCTCTAGCCAATAACCTAAAGTCACATGATGCTATTCTCTCTAGCCACCAACCTAAAGTCACATGATGCTATTCTCTCTAGCCCCCAACCTAAAGCCACATGATGCTATTCTTTCTAGCCACAAACCTAAAGTCACATGATTCTATTCCCTCTAGCCACCAACCTAAAGTCACATATTGCTATTCCCTCTAGCCATTAACCTAAAGTCACGTGATGCTATTCTCTTTAGACACTAACCGAAAGTCACGTGATTCTATTCCCTCTAGCCATTAACCTAAAGTCACTGATGCTATTCCCTCTAGACACTAACCTAAAGTCACGTGATGCTATTGTCTATAGCCATTATCCTAAAGTCACATGATGCTATTCTCTCTAGCCATTAACCTAAAGTCACATGATGGTATTTCCTCTAGACACTAACCTCAAGTCACGTGATGCTATTCCCTCCAACCACCTAGGTAAAGGAACATGTGAGTAGACAGGCAGAGGTGAAATCGCTCTACATTTTCTTTTTTTTTTTTGGAATGTTTCTCTCAAGTTTTATTTCTGATTGTTGGATATCGTTGCAAATGAAAGTCTCCTTGACGTATGCATATAATTAATTTCGAAAATAACTAAGAATTAGTTGACTTATTCTGTGTTTTACATTCGATATAATTAATATAAAAGAACTGTCAACGCTAATAACAGATACTTCCGGTTCACTGGTCACTTGAACAAGAAGCAGTGAAATATCTCCACATATTCTCAATTTTGGACTGTTTCTCTCCAATTTGTTATTCCTGGATATTTGAGTATTGTTTTGCAGCTAAACTTCTCAATCATAACAATCAAACAGAGTATCGTGGATAAAGAAATAGGACCACATCACCCAGTTCTGCGAGATCTCATCAGCTGTACAAAAGGATTAGACTTAAGAGCACCAGAGCTATACCGTATCTCTGAAATCCTGCAGGAATGTCAATTGCTGCCACATTATTAGGAACAGATGGTGGGGCCTTGCAGAACTGCAGCCCATTCTTTGCATAATTCAGCTGGGAGGGAGTCTACACTTGGAGCTTTGCCATGACTTGAGGTCATGCGTATTTCTTCTAGTGTCTTGATCAAGGAAGGGCGACCAATCTCACTGAGTCTATTCTCTTCCAAAGTTTCCTGACAAAGGCGTTGCCTCAATCTCAAAGTCTGAGAATCCATCGATATGATTTAGTGGGCTTCGAGCCTTTTGGGATGAAGCGTGATTTTCGAATAAACTTTATTTCTATGATTATTCTCTCTAGCCACCAACATATAGTCACATTTTGCTATTCCCTCTAGCCACCTAGGTAAAGGAACATTATAGTATTCCCTCTAGCCACCTAGGTAAAGGAACATGATAGTATTCCCTCTAGCCACCTAGGTAAAGGAACATGATAGTATTACCTCTAGCCACCTAGGTAAAGGAACATGATAGTATTACCTCTAGCCACCTAGGTAAAGGAACATGATAGTATTCCCTCTAGCCACCTAGGTAAAGGAACATGATAGTATTCCCTCTAGCCACCTAGGTAAAGGAACATGATAGTATTCCCTCTAGCCACCTAGGTAAAGGAACATGATAGTATTACCTCTAGCCACCTAGGTAAAGGAACATGATAGTATTCCCGCTATTCTCTCTAGCCACCAACCTCAAGTAAATCAAATTGCACTTTTCTTATTTTAAGGTTCAAATAAAAGAAATGACTATGTATTAATTGAATTAAAATACATTCTTTTTTCCCCAATGGTATATTAAGAAAGTTTAAATATATCCTTTATATTTGAGTTCATGCCCATTAAAAAAATGTCGTCAGGCCAAGGACTCTTTTATTCTTTGAAATTGACTCCCACAGAAATTGTAATTGTTCATTGTCCTTGCAAATTACACTCAGACCTATTGACATAAATAATAACCATCGTACCATGAACTGACATGACAATTTGCATATTATTACCTACTGAAATGACATATTACCATTTAATCACCTATTGCCATCTCATAGTACCATTTAATCACCAGTTCACATGTTTCCTCAATTGATCAGGCACAATGTGCTTACCTCTGTTTCGATGCCAGCTGTCCTGCAACATTTAACAGTGTCAGGCAGATATGGAACCGGCATGTCAGAAATAACAAGAATAATGTGATCCTTATTATAGTAGGTGAGTAGACGTAACAGGACATTGTAGTAGGTGTGTAGACGTAAGAGGACATTGTAGTAGGTGAGTAGACGTTAGAGTACATTGTAGTTGGTGAGTAAACGTAACATGCCATTGTAGTAGGTGAGTAGGCGTAAGAGGACATTGTAGTAGGTGAGTAGACGTAACAGGACATTGTAGTAGGTGAGTAGACGTAACAGGAAATTGTAGTAGGTGGGTAGATGTAACAGGACATTGTAGTAGGTGAGTAGACGTAACAGGACATTGTAGTAGGTGGGTAGACGTAACAGGACATTGTAGTAGGTGGGTAGACGTAATAGGACATTGTAGTAGGTAGGTAGACGTAACAGGACATTGTAGTAGGTGAGTAGACGTAACAGGAAATTGTAGTAGGTGGGTAGACGTAACAGGACATTGTAGTAGGTGAGTAGACGTAAGAGGACATTGTAGTAGGTGAGTAGACGTAACAGGACATTGTAGTATGTGAGTAGATGTAACAGGACATTGTAGTAGGTAAGTAGACGTAAGAGGACATTGTAGTAGGTGAGTAGACGTAACAGGAAATTGTAGTAGGTGGGTAGACGTAACAGGACATTGTAGTAGGTGAGTAGATGTAAGAGGACATTGTAGTAGGTGAGTAGACGTAACAGGACATTGTAGTATGTGAGTAGATGTAACAGGACATTGTAGTAGGTAAGTAGACGTAACAGGACATTGTAGTAGGTGGGTAGACGTAACAGGACATTGTAGTAGGTGAGTAGACGTAACAGATCAGAGGTAAAAGTGTCTCACATGTATGTCTAAGGTTGACCAGGATATCAAAGGTTTTGTTTTGAAGTTTGTCCTGCTTGACGTGAGCTGACACAGGGGGTCACGAAGGTTCAAATATTTGATTGGATCATTGAGGCACTTTGTTCTGTTTCTTGTTCTGTTTCTTGTTATGGTAGGGTACATTGCTGCATACACGTACTGGCATATGTGCAACTGTTGGGGAAGCGATGCTGCTATCCTAACGGCTCCTAGCAGATGCCAGGTCTGCCTTGAAGCTCTCGATTGTCGTCCAGTCCACGGAGGCATTGTCCAGAGGGTTCCAAGCGATTATTGTTCGTGGGAAGAAGGATAGTTTATAATTAACTAGTGTAAAAAAGGAAAATTAGAGATAATTTCATGGATTCAAGAAGACAGAATAGATATTTTCATGGTTGTCAAGATGGAACATTGGTAATTTCATGGGTCAAGAAGCCACATTAGGTCATTTAATAGGATTAAGAAGGCAAATTATGTCATTTTAGCGGGTCAGTAGGCACATTAGATCATTTCAGGGAGTCACGAAGGTACATTAGATCATTTCAGTAAGTCAGGAAGGCTCATTTGTTCAAAAGTAAGAAGCTGCAGTAGCTATTTGAAAGAGATGCAGTAACTATTTGATATAGATGTAGTAACTATTTGATATAGATGTAGTAACTATTTGATATAGATGTAGTAACTATTTGATATAGATGTAGTAACTATTTGATATAGATGTAGTAACTATTTGATATAGATGCGGTAATTATTTGAATTAAAAAAGACTACAATTGCCGCGCTCTGTTATTGACACCATAATGTGATAAGGCTGGTACAATTGGTGTGTACCCAAACGTTATGGAAAGTCTGTAGCTTTGAAAACAAATTAAGAAGGGGACAGGGTGACTGAGGCCTCTAATAGCGGAAATAGTCACCCAGTTGGGTGGCAACTTTATAGACTTCAATCTCTGTGCTTATGGTTTACGTCTCGTTTCTGTGATTAACGCGTATATCCCAATGACATATCTGTGCTAGAACGTATGTGGTATATCTATATAACATATATGTGCTAAAATTTATGGCGTATATCCCAATAACATCTATGTGCTAGAGCTTATGGGGTATATGTCAATTACATCTCTGTGCTAGAACTTATGGGGATATCTCAATAACATTTCTGTGCTAGATCTTATGGCGTATCCCAATAACATCTCTGCGCTAGAACTTATGGGGTATATCTCAATTACATTTCTGTGCTAGAACTTATGGAGTATGTCCCAATTCCATCTCAACACTAGAAATTATGGGGTATGTCCCAATTCAATACTTCACTAGAACTTATGGGGTATATCTCAATTACATCTCTGTGCTAGAACTTTTGGGGTATGTACCAATTCCATCTCAACACTAGAAATTATGGGGTATGTCCCAATTCAATACTTCACTAGAACTTATGGGGTATGTTCCAATTAAATCTCTACACTAGAACTTATGGGGTATATCCCAAATCAATCTCGACACTAGAACTTATGGGGTGTATCCCAATTCAATCTCTACACTAAAACTTATTGGGTATGTCCCAATTCAATCTCTCCACTAGAACTTATGGGGTATGTCCCAATTCAATCTCTACACTAGAACTAATGGGGTATGTCCCAAGTCAATCTCTACACTAGAACTTATGGGGTATAATCCCAATTCAATCTCTACACTACAAATTATGGGGCATATCCCAATTCAATCTCTGCACTAGAACTTATGGGATGTGTCCCAATTCAATATCTACACTAGAACTTATGGGGTATGTCCCAATTCAATCTCTACACTACAAATTATGGGGTATATCCCAATTCAATCTCTACACTAGAACTTAGGAGTGTGTCCCAATTCAATCTCTACACTAGAACTTATGGGGTATGTCCCAATTCAATCTCTACACTAGAACTTATGGGGTGTGTCCCAATTCAATCTCTACACTTGAACTTATGGGGTGTGTCCCAATTCAATCTCTACACTAGAACTTATGGGGTATGTCCAAACAACATTTCAATACTAGAATGTATGGCGTATGTCCTTAAAACACCTCTACACTAGAACTTATTGGATATATCATAATCACATCTCTTTGCTACAACCTCTGGGGTATATCTCAATTACATCTCTGTGCTAGAACCCATGGGGTATGTCCAAATTAATCTACATAAGCTGGTATGTGTCGGCAATATTAGATATAACTATGTACGTGTCGGAATGTTAGATGTAACCATGTACGTGTCGGAAATGTTAGATGTAACTATGTACATGTCGGCAATGTTAGATGTAGCTATGTACATGTCGGCAATGTTAGATGTAACTATGTACATGTCGGCAATGTTAGATGTAACCATGTACGTGTCGGCAATGTTAGATGTAACTATGTACATGTCGGCAATGTTAGATGTAACTATGTACATGTCGGCAATGTTAGATGTAACTATGTACATGTCGGCAATGTTAGATGTAACTATGTACATGTCGGCAATGTTAGATGTAACTATGTACATGTCGGCAATGTTAGATGTAACTATGTACATGTCGGCAATGTTAGATGTAACTATGTACATGTCGGCAATGTTAGATGTAACTATGTACGTGTCGGCAATGTTAGATGTAACTATGTACATGTCGGCAATGTTAGATGTAACTATGTACATGTCGGCAATGTTAGATGTAACTATGTACATGTCGGCAATGTTAGATGTAAGATTTAAATTTCTCCATCAGAAACGAAATGTAAAGCCCTAACCCGCATCACAGTTTCCTGTTGTTTTTAGTGCGAAAAAAGTCAACACCTGTGAGAACCTCTGACCCACATTTGTAGCTTTCTAGAAGCTTCGACATCTTTTTAATCTTATGTCATAACATGAGAGGACGATGATAGACAATCATAAACAATCATAAACAATCATAAACAATGATAAACAATGATAAACAATCATAACACGCATAGAAACATAAGGAACGTGAAAAGGACATTTATTTAATCTTAAAGCCCTTATTTTAAAAAATTAAACTTTCTAAAATAAGAAGCTTCAACAAACTTTAAAAAAGATCGTGGCGAAATTCTCAGGAGAGTTTTTAAATCTTTCCAACGAAAATAAATGCTCGATAAACTTTTCAATCTTACTGGCATTGTCATAATCTTTACATCTAGATCGAACAATATAAGACATGATGGAAAATGTATATTTTTATAAAACTTTAAAATCATTTGTAAAAAATGAATCTTCTTTATGTAGTCATTATTTCAAGGATACCCTCTAACTCCTAAATCTGTGGTTTTCAATTCAAGTTCAAAAAGGTACCGTAGGGAACATGTCCTATAATGTGATGTTTTAATTATCACTAAATTGGGGACATGTCCTACAATGTGATGTATTAATTATCGCTAATTTGGGGACATGTTCTATAATGTGATGTATTAATTATCGCTTATTTGGGGACATGTTCTAAAATTTGATGTATTAATTATCGCTAATTTGGGGACATGTTCTATAATGTGATGTATTAATTATCGCTAATTTGGGGACATGTTCTATAATGTGATGTATTAATTATCGCTAATTTGGGGTCCCTGAATAATTATTCATCAGATAAACTCCCAAGTTAAAATTTAAAAGTTGTCTCATTAAAATATGTTGAAAATTGTAAGAGATATAGTGAATATAAGGACAATGTAAGAGATATATAGTGAATAATTTGGGGACATGTTCTATAATGTGATGGCCTCACAATGAAATGAGTGTCAATGGTCTCACAATGAAATGAGTGTCAATGGTCTCACAATGAATTGAGTGTCAATGGTCTCACAATGAAATGAGTGTCAATGTCCTCAAAATGAAATGAGTGTCGATTGCCTCACAATGAAATGAATGTCAATGACCTCACAATGAAATGAGTGTCAATGGCCTCAAAATGAAATGAGTGTCAATGGCTTCACAATGAAATGAGTGTCAATGACCTCACAATGAAATGAGTGTCAATGGCTTCACAATGAAATGAGTGTCAATGGCCTCACATTGAAATGAGTGTCAATGGCCTCACAATGAAATGAGTGTCAATGGCCTCACAATGAAATGAGTGTCAATGACCTCACAATGATATGAGTGTCAATTGCCTAACGACAGTTGTGAAAATGATGAGTTCAAAGCCCTCCAGTTTTCAAATAAAGATTTTTCAAGTGCTGTTGTACCAAGTTTTGTCTAGATCTATTCATTAAGTAGCATTTTAATTACGTTTAATTATGTTGTTTATGTAGCTCATATAAGAAAAAAACAACACCTAATCTTTCATCTTGTTAGGTTGGATAACAAACAAAATGTATTTAAACACAAAAAAAAGTTGAAGAAGGGGATCCCCCCCCCCCCCCCCCCCCCCCCCCCTCCACAACAACAATTAAAAGAGTTAACGATATGTATTGTATCAAGTTTGCTCCAGATGCAAGTATTTACTTGTAATAATGTCATATTGACCTAAGCCGTGGTGTAAGCACATAGCTGTGGTCATTTTGACCAAAAACTTGATGTAAGCCTTTAGCTTTGGTCATTATAAGGAAATACATTATAGAATCTCATTCAATCAGTTGAAACTTAAAATCTGATTTTGAAACATTTGAAGAAAATTATAGAAATGTGTAGGAACACAAGAAACAAAATAAGGAAATCTTTAAGACGTCCAACTCAATATCTGATGTCATTCAAAAATATACCTAGACTCACCTATTGCTTTTGAAATTTAAGCATCTTTCACTGAATGTGCAAACTGTAAATAATTTTATGTAAAATTATAAATCTGCAATAGATTGAAACTGTTGCGCGTGTAACAAATGACGTCATTGAGACATGGCTAGCCTCATAAAATGCACCGAACCAGGGAGTGACGCAGTTTTACAAAATGATGTTTTTGGGGCTGAGAAAAAAATTGACGATTCTCTTTTTCCCCCTGTTACGTACTGATAGGATGTGTTGAGAACGTAATCTCCTATTTTACTCTATCGATCGTGTCAAACAGTCCATAACAAAAGGTGATACCATAACTAAATACAGTAATAAAAAAACGATACTCAAAGAAGGGTTACCTACAAATAATAATTTAGTAAGTTAATTTAAAAATTACAAAACCAAATAGAATAAAACTAAGGCTGTTCCCTTACATTACAGCAATAAACTTGTACCGGTAAAATGTTTTAAGGTACCACGCATACACAGTAAATGTAGTGTACACTATCTACGGTCAGTACGGTATGTCAATCTAACAATCTTGATTCGAAGTCGCAGGCTCTGTTTGTCTTGCAGCCTCTCTCTTGCTCACACCGCTCCCTATGTCCATGGACTTATTTATAGTCTTTCGTAGAGACTTTCTCCAGAAGGGGGTTACACCAGTGTTTCGGTATCTTGACCTGCCTCGTAAGTTCTAAGGAATCTCATTCTTAAGACTAGGTTTTCACGTAGTCGAGGTCAAGGGAAACTATTTATAATTCAACCACGCCAATTGTGTTGCTAAAGTGGCATGCATGAGAACACAAACAATGATGTTAACACAATGTAAACAAAGCCTACTTCGACGGCAACACCCTTACACATCTACTTTATAATGATATTGGGAATACAAATTAATGAACGGAGTGTAAGCTTTTAGGTACCCAAACTGAAGCTTTAAGCACGCCCTGGATTTATGCGATTATTCTAAGGATGTATTTCTGTTTGAAAATCACAAAGAATAAATATTTATTTAAAATTTGCTCACCAAAAAGAAGTTCATGATAAACCTTCCATTAATACATGTTTGAAAGTTCACCATTCTGAATACAAGTTTCTTTTAAACATGCGTACTTCGGAACCATAAGAAAACTCTCATTTTTACTCTTAACCCTCTATATTTTACGATAGTTTACAACATTTGACATCAGGTGATTATGATCCAACTTTCTAGGAAGTCTCTGTTGGTCAGGAGGAATGACCAGGTCAAAGTTGGTTGCAATCCATTGTTTGGTTTCCCTGTGATGGATAGGACCATTGACTGACAGATCGTAGCCACACAGAGCTTTATACAGTAGATACATAGTTCAGGGGAGGGCACTTTTAAAGTAGTTCATGTTTAAATTGAGTTATCAAAGATGACAGTACTTTCATTAAAGGACATAGTCAATAATTTATTTAATAGGTAACGCCTTTGTATGTGTATTAATGTGTTAAACACTTAGTTATTGTAATTACAAAGATACATAACATTCTATTCAACACCTGGGCAGGAGGTGACGGCATCAATTAAAATTATTTTGCAGGTCTCAAACATGATCTTGCTTGTGACGCAGGTACACATCAACTGCTGACGTCAGAGGGCTTGCAGCCTATCACTTTGGAACAGGGGCAGATGTTGTCACGTGATTTAAAGGCTTCCGGTTATGTGGAAGTTTCATCTTTAAGATATATGGGCATACAGACCGTGAGTTGAATTTCCTTTTGCTCTTTTTTTATTGATTAAAAAAAAACAACTTGCGTCTGGTATATTGTTGGTCTTCTGACGTCGTACAGATAACTACAAAGAAAAGTTATGTGTCACACAAGTTATTGATTCATTTCGAAACGAATGTTTGAAAGAAGGTTTCAACAAATCGTTTAACTTATAGGGTCTACCTGCTTTTTCACCAACACACCTCCTCTTACCACACAAATCTTTTCCCCATCACACCTCCTCTTACCACACACATATTTTACCCACCACACCTCCACTTACCACACCAATCTTTTACCCACCACACCTCCTCTTACCACACCAAACTTTTACCCACCACACCTCCTCTTACCACACCAAACTTTTACCCACCACACCTCCTCTTACCACACCAAACTTTTACCCACCACACCTCCTCTTACCACACCAAACTTTTACCCACCACACCTCCACTTACCACACCAAACTTTTACCCACCACACCTCCACTTACCACACCAAACTTTTACCCACCACACCTCCTCTTACCCCACCAAACTTTCACCCACCACACCTCCTCCTACCCCACCAAACTCTTACCCACCACACCTCTCCCACCACACCTCCTCTTACCTCACCAAACTTTTACCCACCACACCTCCTCTTACCACACCAATCTTTTACCCACCACACCTCCTCTTACCACACCAAACTTTTACCCACCACACCTCCTCTTACCACACCAATCTTTTACCCACCACACCTCCTCTTACCCCACCAATCTTTTACCCACCACACCTCCTCTTACCACACCAATCTTTTACCCACCACACCTCCTCTTACCCCACCAAACTTTTACCCACCACACCTCCTCTTACCACACCAAACTTTTACCCACCACACCTCTTCTTACCACACCAAACTTTTAACCGCCACACCCCCTCTTACCCAACCAAACTTTTACCCACCACACCTCCTCTTACCACACCAAACTCTTACCCACCACACCTCCACTTACCACACCAATCTTTTACCCACCACGCCACCTCTTACCACACAAAACTTTTACCCACCACACCTCCTCTTACCACACCAAACTTTTACCCACCACACCTCCTCTTACCAAAGAAAACTTTTACCCACCACATCTCCTCTTACCCCACCAAACTTTTACCCACCACACCTCCTCTTACCACACCAAACTTTTACCCACCACACCTCCTCTTACCACACCAAACTTTTATCCACCACATCTCCTCTTACCCCACCAAACTTTTACCCACCACACCTCCACTTACCACACCAAACTTTTATCCACCACACCTCCACTTACCACACCAAACTTTTACCCACCACACCTCCACTTACCACACCAAACTTTTACCCACCACACCTCCTCCTACCACACCAAACTTTTACCCACCACATCTCCTCTTACCACACCAAACTTTTACCCACCTTACCTCCTCTTACCCCAACAAAATTTTACCCACCACACCTCCTCTTACCACACCAAACTTTTATCCACCACACCTCCACTTACCACACCAAACTTTTACCCACCACACCTCCACTTACCACACCAAACTTTTATCCACCACACCTCCTCTTACCACACCAAACTTTTACCCACCACACCTCCACTTACCACACCAAACTTGTATCCACCACACCTCCACTTACCACACCAAACTTTTACCCACCACACCTCCTCTTACCACACCAAACTTTTATCCACCACACCTCCACTTACCACACCAAACTTTTACCCACCTTACCTCCTCTTACCCCAACAAAATTTTACCCACCACACCTCCTCTTACCACACCAAACTTTTACCCACCACACCTCCTCTTACCACACCAAACTTTTACCCACGACACCTCCTCTTACCACACCAAACTTTTATCCACCACACCTCCTCTTACCACACCAAACTTTTACCCACCACACCTCCACTTAACACACCAAACTTTTATCCACCACACCTCCACTTACCACACCAAACTTTTACCCACCACAACTCCTCTTACCACACCAATCTTTTACCCACCACACCTCCTCTTACAACACCAAACTTTTACCCACCACACCTCCTCTTACCAAAGAAAACTTTTACCCACCACACCTCCACTTACCACACCAAACTTTTACCCACCACACCTCCTCTTACCACACCAAACTTTTACCCACCACACCTCCACTTATCACACCAAACTTTTACCCACCACACCTCCACTTACCACACCAAACTTTTACCCACCACACCTCCTCTTACCCCACCAAAATTTTACCCACCACACCTCCTCTTACCACACCAAACTTTTACCCACCACACCTCCACTTACCACACCAAACTTTCACCCACCACATCTCCTCTTACCCCACCAAACTTTTACCCACCACACCTTCTCTTACCTCACCAAAATTTTACCCACCACACCTCCTCTTACCACACCAAACTTTTACCCACCACACCTCCTCTTACCACACCAAACTTTTATCCACCACATCTCCTCTTACCCCACCAAACTTTTACCCACCACACCTCCTCTTTTTCAAAACCACATTAATTTTGATCGTCCACTGGTATCAGCCACTGGTATCAGCCACTGGTATCCAGGATTCTTTGTTAAGGACTCACTTGAAACTTCGGACACTGACTGATAGCTTTGTTTAGTTTGTAAACAATGTTTACTTTATTTCTACTTATAATTCAATATTTGTTTCAGTTGAAAGAAACAACAGTTTTTGAGTTTGTGGCTAACAGCAATTTGAAGGAGAAGAAACGCTGTACAGTAATGTAGTCCGTGTGCCCAACAGCAAGTTGAAGGACAAGAAACACTGTACAGTAATGTAGTCCGTGTGGCCAACAGCACGTTGAAGGAGAAGAAAGCTGTACAGTAATGTAGTCCGTGTGGCCAACAGCAAGTTTAAGGAGAAGAAACACTGTACAGTAATGTAGTCCGTGTGGCCAACAGCAAGTTGAAAGAGAAGAAACGCTGTACAGTAATGTAGTACGTGTGGCCAACAGCACGTTGAAGGAGAAGAAACGCTGTACAGTAATGTAGTCTGTGTGGCCAACAGCAAGTTGAAGGAGAAGAAACACTGTACAGTAATGTAGTCCGTGTGGCCAACAGCAAGTTGAAGGAGAAGAAACGCTGTACAGTAATGTAGTCGGTGTGGCCAACAGCAAGTTGAAGGAGAAGAAACGCTGTACAGTAATGTAGTCGGTGTGGCCAACAGCAAGTTGAAGGAGAAGAAACACTGTACAGTAATGTAGTCGGTGTGGCCAACAGCAAGTTGAAGGAGAAGAAACACTGTACAGTAATGTAGTCGGTGTGGCCAACAGCAAGTTGAAGGAGAAGAAACGCAGTTCAGTAATGTAGTCCGTGTGGCCAACAGCAAGTTGAAGGAGAAGAAACGCTGTACAGTAATGTAGTTGGTGTGGCCAACAGCAAGTTGAAGGAGAAGAAACGCTGTACAGTAATGTAGTCGGTGTGGCCAACAGCAAGTTGAAGGAGAAGAAACGCTGTACAGTAATGTAGTCGGTGTGGCCAACAGCAAGTTGAAGGAGAAGAAACACTGTACAGTAATGTAGTCCGTGTGGCCAACAGCAAGTTGAAGGAGAAGAGACACTGTACAGTATTGTAGTCGGTGTGGCCAACAGCAAGTTGAAGGAGAAGAAACACTGTACAGTAATGTAGTCGGGGTGGCCAACAGCAAGTTGAAGGAGAAGAAACACTGTACAGTAATGTAGTCGGTGTGGCCAACAGCAAGTTGAAGGAGAAGAAACTTTGTACAGTAATGTAGTCCGTGTGGCCAACAGCAAGTTGAAGGAGAAGAAACGCTGTTCAGTAATGTAGTCTGCCCCGTCAAACTTGTGTTCAAAAGTTTCACCAAACCTCCAACGTGCCTAGAGAGTATTGCACAGACAAGAATGTCCAGAAATGCAAACCTTTTGTGTGTGCATAATTTAATTTTTATTATAATTTGCAACGGTTGTATCCTAATTCCACTTTACTTATTTATCAGAATGTTTTATGTCCTAAAAATGCAATAAATAAAACTACAATTGTTTTTTTTTTAATGTTGTTTGCATAGGTGAGTAAATGTTTTTTTTTTTTCTGTTTGCATATTTGTGTATATGTGCTTTTCTGTGTGAATATTTGTGTACATTTGTTTTTCTGTGTGCATTTTTGTGTACATGTGTTTTTCTGTTACTCGCGCTTCCCGCAACACTGTATCAAGTCATAAATAACATGACTTGCTACACCAGTTGGCATGAGACACACCATGGACAATATGTTAACATTAGTGAACAATGTCAGTTCCTAAAATGTGAAAGTCATCTGTGTTTGACAGATATGCTAATGCAGCTGTAGATATAACATTCTTCGGTTGGTTGTCCGTTGGTTAAAAATACATGTCCTGATATATTGTGAACGTCTCTTAGAGTCATATTAAACATTTGACATTTAAACTATTTGCTATATTAAATTTATTCCAGTCTTTGTTTTTTTTTTCTGCAAGTTTCCTTCATACACGTATTTGGCGACAATATTTAATTTTGAAGTGATCGCATCGAACACGGGGTTACTTACAATTCATGTGCGCACTTTATCGGAAATTCCCAGTAGGTACCACACGTAATATATCGTTGGCTTATTTCATAGCCAGCCAAACACCTTGGAAAATGTGGTGTCTTAATGCTTTAAAATAATTTCATATCGAAAGATCATAATTTCATCAACGTTTCTATCTATTTATTTACGTGACAACATTTATTTTGCTATAAACTTTTAAACAATAAATAAAATAAATCAAAATAAATAAGTTCAGACTCTTTTCCTTATTATTTGATCCGTGTTTTTCATTTACTAGACTATTAACTTATTTCATTCCGAGTTTTTATTAGATAAATAAATTGTGTATCAACAATGTTAACTTCTTAATATTTCAACTGACAGTCCTAGTGTAGCCCAGTATAACAGGTCAATCAGGTACACAAAGGACGCTCTAGGACTGTAGGACCCAAGTAAGTCCAAGTAAATGATTTTACTAAATCTGGATTTGACAGATTTTAAGAAATAATTTAAAAATAACTTTGAAAATACATGCACCAGAATGACATTGGTATTGGCCATTTGTGATTCCAAGAAAAATGAAGAGATTAAGGCAACTACCTGATTAAATGATTAAGGGATTCAGCAGTCTCACATCTAAGCACATAAAAATAAAAGACATTGTTAAGTGCACTTCATAAATTTAAAACTCCACATATTTATTTGACAGAACTCCATTCAAACATTCCAATAGTTTATAGAACATGTATTTTGTGTTCGAAATTAGTTTGTCATGTATTTTTGTTTGTTTCAAAGGAATTTTTTTTTATTAATCGAGAGTTTCAAGGCTGCCCTGACACCCGCTAGGAGCAGTTAGGGTGACTGCATCGTTTACCAAACCGTTGCACACATGCCAGGACTTGGTTGCAGCAACGTAGTCGAGCAGAATCAGAGTTCAACAATGAACAAATTAGAAGACAAAAAATGAGTCGATCCATACAAGTGTTATTGTCTTGCTAAACGGTGTGACAGAAAAGGGTTATTGTTTTGTTAGATGCTGTGTCGTGATAGTGTTATTAATTTGCTAGACGGTGTGTTATACTATTTGTGTTGTCTTGCTAGACGGTGTGTCATGATAGTGTTATTAATTTGCTAGACGGTGTGTTATACTATTTATGTTGTCTTGCTAGACGGTGTGTCATGATAGTGTTATTAATTTGCTAGACGGTGTGTTATACTATTTATGTTGTCTTGCTAGACGGTGTGTCATGATAGTGTTATTAATTTGCTAGACGGTGTGTTATACTATTTATGTTGTCTTGCTAGACGGTGTGTCATGATAGTGTTATTAATTTGCTAGACGGTGTGTTATACTATTTATGATGTCTTGCTAGATGGTGTGTCATAATATATTTATTGACTTGCTAGATGGTGTGTCATGATAGATTTATTGACTTGCTAGATGGTGTGTCATAATAGATTTATTGACTTGCTAGATTGTGTGTCATAATAGATTTATTGACTTGCTAGATGGTTTGTCATAATAGATTTATTGACTTGCTAGATGGTTTGTCATAATAGATTTATTGACTTGCTAGATGGTTTATCATAATAGATTTATTGACTTGCTAGATGGTTTGTCATAATAGATTTATTGACTTGCTAGATGGTGTGTCATAATAGTTGTATGACTTGCTAGATGGTGTTTCATAAATTATATTGCTAGCTGGTGTGTGTCATAACAGTTTCATTGTCTTGCTAAAAGGTTTGCCATAATCGTTTTGGTAATTGTGATATTGTGAAGACTTAGTTAGGTGCTATTTTGAATAGTTACATTATTGCCCATTCTAATATAATAAACTTAATGAAGAACTAAATTCCAAACTAAGAGTTTTAAAAGTTTACGAGACTATTTGGAAGCTGCCTGAGCAAAGAAAGTGTTCATCTGGAACTTTTGTCTCTGTGGCAAACTAAGTCTTTGCAGATATAAAAGCTCAGATATAAGTAGAAAAATATAAAGAAGCAATATAATATTGAGAATTGTTAGGGTAGGTGTTATTTTAAAGTGTTATGTTAGGTGTTATTGTGAAGTTTTAGGCTAGGTGTTATTGTAAGGTGTTAAGTTATGTGTTATTGTGACGTTTTAAGTTATGTGTTATTGTGAAGTGTTAAGTTATGTGTTATTGTGAAGTGTTAGGTTAAGTGTTATTGTGAAGTGTATAGTTAGATGTAATTGTAAAAACGTAGGTTCAAACTAATACACAAATTTAGGTTTTAAAAATGGACTGTAATCCTGAAGGAGATTTTTCTATTTTTGAAGAAAAAAGTAAGATTTTTGTAGTTGCTGTTAGATTAAAAAAATACGTTATATGTGACATATAAAAGTGCGTCTCTTTTTCGTCTGTTTAATGGCTTTATGTCCACTTCCTACCAAAGTAAATATGATTACCCTAGCTGATGGGCGAGCTATTCTAGACAGAAGTGACGACATACAGTTTTAATGTATAGTTGCCTTGAACTTCTTGATATTAGGACAGAGCTGATGGACGATCTACCCTAGCTAGAGTTGCTGGCGCTATAGTTTTAATGGATAGTTGCCTTGACCTACTTGTTTAGATGATGTGAGGTTGGAGCTGATGGGCGAGTTACTCGGGGATTCTGTCGTCCGATTGCTGCTGGGATACAATGAACCTGAAGAGAAACTTGAGAACAATCTGGTGTGGTCAGTGGAGATCTTCAAACTGTATCTTCTGTCTTTGGCGACCTTAATAGCCCTGTATGTATTAAACTGATAGCCCTTTATGTTCTTAACTGATAGCCTTTTATGTACTAAACTGATAGCCCTGTATGTATTAAACTGATAGCCCTGTATGTGCTAAACTGATAGCCCGGTATGTATTAAACTGATAGCCTTGTATGTGCTAAACTGATAGCCCGGTATGTATTAAACTGATAGCCCTGTATGTGCTAAACTGATAGCTCTCCTTGTCCTAAACTGATAGCCCTGTTTGTACTAAACTGATAACCCTTTATGTAATAAACTGATAGCCATGTATGTGCTAAACTGATAGCCATGTCTGTGTTATACATATAGACCTGTATGTGCTAAACTGATAGCCCGGTATGTATTAAACTGATAGCCCTGTATGTGCCAAACTGATAGCCCGGTATGTATTAAACTGATAGCCCTGTATGTGCTAAACTGATAGCTCTCCTTGTCCTAAACTGATAGCCCTGTTTGTACTAAACTGATAACCCTTTATGTAATAAACTGATAGACCTGTATGTACTAAACTGATAGCCTATAATGTACTTGACTGATCGACATGTACTAAACTGATAGCCTTGTATTTACTTATCTGAAATACCTGTATGCATTAAACTGATGGGCTGGTATGTACTAATCTGAAAGCCCTGTATGTGTTAAACTATAAACTTTAAATACATAGTTAGATTAGGGTTAAGAACACAAAATCAAAATATTGTAGACCAAAAGTCATACGAGGGCTTCCTCCGCGCCTAGTGGTTGGTTGCGTCCAGCTTCTATGTGTTGCTTGTGTCCAGCGCCTATGTGTTGGTTGTGTCCAGCGCCTATGTGTTGGTTGTGTCCAGCGCCTGTGTGTTGGTTGTGTCCAACGCCTATGTGTTGGTTGTGTCTAGTACCCAAGTGTTGGTTGTGTCCAGCACCCAAGTGTTGGTTGTGTCCAGCACCCAAGTGTTGGTTGTGTCCAGCACCCAAGTGTTGGTTGTGTCCAGCGCCCAAGTGTTGGTTGTATCCAGCGCCCAAGTGTTGGATGTGTCCAGCGCCCAAGTGTTGGTTGTGTCCAGCGCCCGTAGAGGCACTAACCTAAACGTGTATCACTTTAAATCAAAAATGAAATAGCAAGCGTATTTATTTATTTTCAAAGTTGCAGTGGTTGACTTGCGTGCGATACTGTCAAACCAAACCAAAACAAACCAAAGCTTTCGACATGAAAACAAAATTAATATCTCATTAATCTCGAAATGATTTCATACAAATAAGTCCATTATTACGTGTTCGCCCTATTTTACACTGTAGTTATGCTGGTTTGAAAAATGTTTCTTAAGAATTCTGTTTAAAAGAGAAATGACCAACTGGTGTACATGTCGTCATTGAGGAATACATAAGCCCTCGCTATCTCATGTGATTAAAAATTCTTTCCTAAGTAGAAATATTTGAGCTTAGAAATACAATTTAATTCTTTTTTAAAGCATTTTGAAGTCCGTAGATTTATTTTGACCACAGGTTTATCGTCTATGCCCAATTCGTGATGGTCTGTCTCTTGAATGCCGTGCTCCCCTTGTTGCCTAAGGTCATCCTATGGAGGGTAATTTTATTTGTGATTGTCTCTTGAATGCCGTGCTCCCCTTGTTGCCTAAGGTCATCCTATGGAGGGTAATTTTATTTGTGATTGTCTCTTGAATGCCGTGCTCCCCTTGTTGCCTAAGGTCATCCTATGGAGGGTAAGTTTATTTGTGATTGTCTCTTGAATGCCGTGCTCCCCTTGTTGCCTAAGGTCATCCTATGGAGGGTAAGTTTATTTGTGATTGTCTCTTGAATGCCGTGCTCCCCTTGTTGCCTAAGGTCATCCTATGGAGGGTAAGTTTATTTGTGATTGTCTCTTGAAAGCCGTGCTCCTCTTGTTTCCTAAGGCCATCCTATGGAGGGTAAGTTTATTTGTGATTGTCTCTTGAATGCCGTGCTCCCCTTGTTGCCTAAGGTCATCCTATGGAGGGTAAGTTTATTTGTGATTGTCTCTTAAATGCCGTGCTCCCCTTGTTGCCTAAGGTCATCCTACGGAGGGTAATTTTATTTGTGATTGTCTCTTGAATGCCGTGCTCCCCTTGTTGCCTAAGGTCATCCTATGGAGGGTAAGTTTATTTGTGATTGTCTCTTGAATGCCGTGCTCCTCTTGTTTCCTAAGGTCATCCTATGGAGGGTAAGTTTATTTGTGATTGTCTCTTGAATGCCGTGCTCCTCTTGTGGCCTAAGGTCATCCTATGGAGGGTAAGTTTATTTGTGATTGTCTCTTGAATGCCGTGCTCCCCTTGTTGCCTAAGGTCATCCTATGGAGGGTAAGTTTATTTGTGATTGTCTCTTAAATGCCGTGCTCCTCTTGTTGCCTAAGGTCATCCTATGGAGGGTAAGTTTATTTGTGATTGTCTCTTGAATGCCGTGCTCCCCTTGTTGCCTAAGGTCATCCATTGAAGGATTAGTTTCATTTGTGCTGCTCTGTCTTGTAAATGCTGGGCTCCTTTTGTTGCCTTAGGTCATCCTTTGAAGGGTTAGTTTGAATTAATGTATACCTTGTCCTTATACCTGACTGACAACAAACACACTGGCCAACAAAACAGCTACATGTTCAAATAAACGGATGAAGTGTCAACTTAAGGGCTGAATTATCAACTAAACAGCTGAAGAGTCAACTAAATAGCTGTAAGTCCCACTAGAACAGCTGAAGTTCAAGGGCCAACTAAACAGCTAAAGGGCCAACTAAACAACTGAAGGGCCAACTAAATAGCTGAATGGCCACAGAAACAACTGAAGGGCCAACTAAACAACTGAAGGACCAATTAAATAGCTGAATTATCAACTAAACAGCTGTAGGGCCAACTAAACAGTTTTAAGGCTAAGTAAACAGTTGAAGTTCAAGGTAAGAAGCTGAAGGGCCAACAAAACAGCTGTAGGGCCAACTAAACAGCTGTAGTGCCAACTAAACAGATGTAGTGCCAACTAAACAGCTGGAGGGCCAACCACAAAGCTAATATGCAAACTAAACAGTTGTAGTGCCAACTAAACAGCTGGAGGGCCAACCACAAAGCTAATATGCCAACTGAACAGTTGTAGGGCCAAGTAAATAGCTGAAGTTCAAGGTAAACAACGGAAGGACAACTAAATAGCCGAATGTTTTACCAAACAGCTGAAGTTCAAGGTAAACAGCTGAAGGGCCAACTAAATAGCGGAAGGGCCAACTAAATGGCTGAAATCCCAAATAAACTGGTGCAGGGCCGACTAAACAGCTGACGTACCAACTTAACAGCAGAACGTGCATGCTGTAAAAGAAATCCTCCAATCTCTACCAACACATTGAAGCATCGAATGCAGGCTTAACCAATTAGAGAGCGTAAGGGCGACTTATGTTTCCAACTGGCTTCATTCGCATCATTTTGGCAGTGGTTCTTAAAATAAAAAAAAACAACTGATGAACCTCAGCTGATAAACAATTTAGTACATTTTAATTTAAGAACCACTGCCCTATTGTATATGCAAGAACAAATGCTCTATGGTATAGACAGGAACCACTGCCCTATTGTATATGCAAGAACAACTGCTCTATGTTTATACAAGAACCACTGCTCTATGGTATAGACAAGAACCACTGCTCTATAGTATAGACAAGAACCACTGCTCTATGTTTAGACAAGAACCACTGCTCTATGGTATAGACAAGAACCACTGCTCTATGTTTAGACAAGAACCACTGCTCTATAGTATAGAAAAGAACCACTGCTCTATGTTTAGACAAGAACCACTGCTCTATGTTTAGACAAGAACCACTGCTCTATGGTGTAGACAAGAGCGACTGCTCTATAGTATAGACAAGAACCACTGCTCTATAGTATAGCAAGAACCACTGGTCTATTGTATATGCAAGAAACACTGCTCTATGGTATAGACAAGAACCACTGCCCTATTGTATATGCAAGAAACACTGCTCTATGGTATAGACAAGAACCACTGCCCTATTGTATAATAATATATAAGAAACACTGCTCTATGTTTAGACAAGAACCACTGCTCTATGGTATAGACAAGAACCACTGCTCTATAGTATAGACAAGAACCACTGCTCTATGTTTAGACAAGAAACACTGCCCTATGTTTAGACAAGAACCACTGATCTATGGTATAGACAAGAACCACTGCTCTATATTATAGACAAGAACCACTGCTCTATGGTGTAGACAAGAACCACTGCTCTATGGTATAGACAAGAACCACTGCTCTATAGTATAGACAAGAACAACTGCTCCATGTTTAGACAAGAACCACTGCTCTATGGTGTAGACAAGAACCAATACTCTATGGTATAGACAAGAACCACTGCTCTATGTTTAGACAAGAACCACTGCACTATGTTTAGACAAGAACCACTGCTCTATGGTGTAGACAAGAACGACTGCTCTATGGTATAGACAAGAACCACTGCTCTATGTTTAGACAAGAACCACTGCTCTATGGTATAGACAAGAACCACTGCTCTATGGTATAGACAAGAACCACTGCTCTATAGTATAGACAAGAACCACTGCTCTATGTTTAGACAAGAACCACTGCTCTATGGTGTAGACAAGAACGACTGCTCTATGGTATAGACAAGAAATACTGCTCTATGGTATAGACAAGAACCACTGCTCTATAGTATAGACAAGAACCACTGCTCTATGGTATAGACAAGAACCACTGCTGTATGGTATAGTCAAGAACCACTGCTCCATGTTATAGACAAGAACCACTGCTCTATGGTATAGACAAGAACCACTGCTCTATAGTATAGACAAGAACCACTGCTCTATGGTATAGACAATACCACTGCTCTATAGTATAGACAAGAACCACTGCTCTATGTTTAGACAAGAACCACTGCTCTATGGTATAGACAAGAACCACTGCTCTATGGTATAGACAAGAACCACTGCTCTATGGTATAGACAAGAACCACTGCACTATGGTGTAGACAAGAACCACTGCTCTATGGTGTAGACAAGAACCACTGCTCTATGTTTAGACAAGAACCACTGCACTATGGTGTAGACAAGAACCACTGCTCTATGTTTAGACAAGAACCACTGCACTATGGTGTAGACAAGAACCACTGCTCTATAGTATAGACAAGAACCACTGCTCTATAGTATAGACAAGAACCACTGCACTATGTTTAGACAAGAACCACTGCTCTATGGTGTAGACAAGAACGACTGCTCTATGGTATAGACAAGAACCACTGCTCTATGTTTAGGCAAGAACCACTGCACTATGGTGTAGACAAGAACCACTGCTCTATAGTATAGACAAGAACCACTGCTCTATAGTATAGACAAGAACCACTGCACTATGTTTAGACAAGAACCACTGCTCTATGGTGTAGACAAGAACGACTGCTCTATGGTATAGACAAGAACCACTGCTCTATAGTATAGACAAGAACCACTGCTCTATAATTCCCTTATCTATTGACAGCCAAAGTTTGTTTATTCCCCTAATCTTTTGACAGCCAAAGTTTGTTTATTCCTCTAATCTATTGACAGCCAAAGTTTGTTTATTCCTCTAATCTATTGACAGCCAAAGTTTGTTTATTCCTCTAATCTATTGACAGCCAAAGTTTGTTTATTCCCCTACTCTATTTACAGCTTTAGTGTTTTTTTATTCCCCTAATCTTTTGACAGTCAAAGTTTTTATTCTCCTAATCATTTGACAGCCAAAGTTTTTATTCCCCTAATCTTTTGACAGCCAAAGTTTTTATTCCCCTAATCTTTTGACAGCAAAAGTTCTTATTCCCCTAATCTTTTGACAGCGAAAGTTTGTTTATTCCACTAATCTATTGACAGCCAAAGTTTTTATTCCCATAATCTATTGACAGCCAAAGTTGGTCGCCGGGAAACAGATTCTGCCATGGAAGTCATTGGGATTACGTGAGTAGACAAATATAGATTATTATTGATTTGTTTATATGAGTTTAGATTTCTTGATGCAGTGGTGTCATCCATTGCATTTCACTCATTGTTTTCACCCATAGGACTTTCACATGATAATTCTCCGAATCTCCATTGTATGATGGCTCCATGCACTGCTAGCAACCTGCAATGTTGATACCCTGTACTGCTGGCACGCTACACTGTTGGCTCCCTGCTCTGTTGACACCCTGCAGTGTTGGCACCCAGTACTGTTAAAACCCTGCACTGTTGGCACCCAGCACTGTTAGAACCCTGCACTGTTAGCACCCAGCACTGTTCGCACCCAGCACTGTTGGCTCCTTGCACTGTTGGCACCCAGCACTGTTAGAACCCTGCACTGTTGGAATCTGTACTGCTGGCACGCTACACTGTTGGCTCCCTGCTCTGTTGACACCCTGCAGTGTTGGCACCCAGTACTGTTAAAACCCTGCACTGTTGGCACCCAGCACTGTTAGCACCCTGCACTGTTAGCACCCAGCACTGTTCGCACCCAGCACTGTTGGCTCCTTGCACTGTTGGCACCCAGCACTGTTAGCACCCTGCACTGTTGGAACCCAGCACTGTTGGCACCCTGCACCGTTCGCACCCAGCACTGTTAGAACCCTGAACTGTTGGCACCCTGCACTGTTGGCACCTAGCACTGTTAGCATTCAGCACTGTTGGCCCCCAACACCCAGCACTGTTGGCACCCTGCACTGTTGGCACTCTGGACTGTTGACACCTAGCACTGTTGGCACTTAGCACTGTTGGCATCCTGCACTGTTGGCACCCTGCACTGTTGGCACTTGGCACTGTTGGCACTGTTGACACTCGGCACTGTTGGCACCTGGCACTGTTAGCACCCTGCACTGTTAACACTCTGCGCTGTTAGCCCCCAGCACTGTTGACACCTATCACTGTTGGCACTCTGCATTAAAAATGACCTTTCTAATATTATTGTGAATATAAAAAGTAAATGACTCTCATGATTTTACTGTAAATATGAAAAGTAACTGATCATTATTGAACTGTAAAAGATGAAAAGTTACTAAGCCTAAAAAATACTCTTGATATGAAAAGTTACTAACCCTGACGATACTTTTACATGAAAAGTTACTAACCCTGACGATACTGTTAATTTGAAAAGTTACTAACCCCGACGATACTGTTAATATGAAAAGCTACTAACCATGTTTCTATAAGCTTGCATTCTGAGCAGTGCTCAATAAAGGCCTGCATGTTTCTATAAGCTTGCATTCTGAGCAGTGCTCAATAAAGGCCTGCATGTTTCTATAAGCTTGCATTCTGAGCAGTGCTCAATAAAGGCCTGCATGTTTCTATAAGCTTGCATTCTGAGCAGTGCTCAATAAAGGCCTGCATGTTTCTATAAGCTTGCATTCTGAGCAGTGCTCAATAAAGGCCTGCATGTTTCTATAAGCTTGCATTCTGAGCAGGGCTCAATAAGGGCCTGCATGTTTCTATAAGCTTGCATTCTGAGCAGAGCTCAATAAAGGCCTGCATGTTTCTATAAGCTTGCATTCTGAGCAGTGCTCAATAAGGGCCTGCATGTTTCTATAAGCTTGCATTCTGAGCAGTGCTCATAAAGGCCTGCATGTTTCTATAAGCTTGCATTCTGAGCAGTGCTCATAAAGGCCTGCATGTTTCTATAAGCTTGCATTCTGAGCAGTGCTCAATAAAGGCCTGCATGTTTCTATAAGCTTGCATTCTGAGCAGTGCTCAATAAGGGCCAGCATGTTTCTATAAGCTTGCATTCTGAGCAGTGCTCAATAAAGGCCTGCATGTTTCTATAAGCTTGCATTCTGAGCAGTGCTCAATAAGGGCCTGCATGTTTCTATAAGCTTGCATTCTGAGCAGTGCTCAATAAAGGCCTGCATGTTTCTATAAGCTTGCATTCTGAGCAGTGCTCAATAAGGGCCTGCATATTCTATAAGCTTGCATTCTGAGCAGTGCTCAATAAAGGCCTGCATGTTTCTATAAGCTTGCATTAGTTGAAAAGTTGATTTATTCTGTTTTCCATTTTAGGTTTCAATTTGTAAATCTTACTTGCGTCAAATTTTTTTTTTTATTTTGCAGCCGGACATTTGGAAGAAAAAAATACAGCTAGTGGCTACCTGGAAGATAGGTAGGTATAAGACGCTATAGATTAGTTTTACCTGGCAGACAAGTAGGTTTAAGATGATATAGATTAGTTTTACCTGGCAGATAGGTGGGTTTAAGATGCTATTTGACTTGGTACTTGGGGACGTAGAAAATTTTGACTTGGTACTTGGGGAGGTAGAAAATTTTGACTTGGTACTTAGGGAGGTAGAAAATTTTCACTTGGTACTTGTAGAGGTAGAAAATTTTGACTTGGTACTTGGGGAGGTAGAAAATTTTGACTTGGTACTCTGGGAGGTAGGAAATTTTGACTTTGTTCTTGGGGAGGTAGAAAATTTTGACTTGGTACTTAGGGAGGTAGAAAATTTTGACTTGGTGCTTGGGGAGGTAGAAAATTTTGACTTGGTGCTTAGGGAGGTAGAAAATTTTGACTTGGTGCTTGGGGAGGTAGAAAATTGTGTATCCTCGCGAGGCAAAATGGGTTATTTGAAATTTTCAAATACAATGTGTAGTTTCATCATCATAATAGGCATTTGTCAGAAAGGGACGTAACCCGGTAATTTGAAAACGTTATATCCAACTATATCGACAGAGAAGACGATTCCAATGAGTTGGAATTGTCAAGCTTGGCCGGTCGTAGAAAGTTGAAGCGGTCACACAAGAAAGGAGACCACGCCTATGTTAAACGGTAACTCACATTGATTTGTATCATTTTAAACATTAAGCCGAATTCTTGGCTTGAATTTCCTACTCAATGGCGGGCTCTTCAAACATCTTGAAATAGATCACTAAACATTTGAGCGTAAACCATGAAAAGTAAAAATTACACTTTTTTTTTTTCTCATGCTAGTTTAGCAAGTAACCTAATAGAAATAAGAATAAATGACATTGCCAAAAAAAAAAATTGAGGTCATATGATTTGGAACAACACACATAAAGGTCCCATGATTTTAAACTACAGATATAAAGGTCCCATGATTCTGAACAACACATATAAAGGTCACATGATTCTGAGCAAGACATAATAAAGGTCCCATGATTTTGAACAACACATACAAAGATCCCATGACTAGGAACAACACATATAAAGATCCCAAGATTCGGAACAACACATAAAAAGATCCTATGATTCGGAACAACACATATAAAGGTCCCATGATTCGGAACAACACATATAAAGGTCCCATGATTCGGAACAACACATAAAAAGATCCCATGATTCGGAACAACACATAAAAAGATCCCATGATTCGGAACAACACATAAAAAGATCCCATGATTCGGAACAACACATATAAAGGTCCCATGATTCGGAACAACACATAAAAAGATCCCATGATTCTAAACAACACATATAAACGTCCATTGATTCTAAACAACACATATAAAGGTCCCATGATTCTAACCAAAACATATTTTAAAAATAAGTCTGACATTTCGAATCCAGATGGATCTGAGATGTATATTTTCAGGACGGCCATCTTCCACTGATGACGCTGCTTTGTATATAAGGGCCTCCAGATTCCCTCCCTTGAATAACATATTTTTAAAAAATTAATCTCAGAGAATGGCACCCCTCTAGTTACTTCTCACATCATTTTTTATTTTGCTCGTGTTATGGAGACACAATGTGTCATAGCTATATCATACCTCCCTCTATTACAAAATGACTCATTGTCACATTGACCCCCACCCCCCACACCCCTTACGTTTATCGAACAGACAGTCCGTCGAGTCCAAGTTGGTCAAGCGAAATGCCAAACCGTCCCACAGGCCGTCCCAACGTGACTACCCGGAAACGGACAGCACCTCGCTGACGCTATCACACACGTCCGTCACAATGTCTCAGTACCACTTGTGGAAGAACAGACCGGGTTTACCGGAGATGAACGAAGCTGGAGGGCGGTTACCGGAGATGAGCGAAGCTGGATTTGGCGAATATTCGTGGGCAGAGAACAACGTGAATGGCAGCAGCAAGCTGTCGTCTGCCTTATTTCAGCCTCACCACACCCTTGCCGTCCAACGGGATCCTGGCATCTGTGACCTAGTTAAACAAGGGCCATTCGTTGAGTGTCCTGGCATCTGTGACCTAGATAACCAAGGGTCACCCACGGAGGGTCCATTTCGAATATCCGTAGATGAGGCCGTTGTCGATTTACTGTCAGGAGATTTACAGCTCATTCGCGAAAAATACCTGGCTAAACAAACAGTTCCATTTGAATTGCCATCAGCCGAAACTTTTGATTACCCCAGGGAAATTTCTCTAGAAGTTTAGATACTGGTGATGTGTCTAAACATTTTGTAGAGGGAAAAGATCTTTCTTAACGTTCAAAACAGGGATAAGATCTAATTAAACATTCTGTACAGACATAAGATCTATTTAAACGTTCTGTACAGAGATAAGATCTATTTAAACATTCTGTACAGAGATAGGATCTGAAAGTGTTTGTGACGAGAAGGTTCAAGAAAATAAATGTACATTGTATATTAAGTAATCTACCACCGAAATATATTTGAGAATTTCTGTGTTGGATTCTTTTTTTAAAATCAGGTTCATCTATATGTCCATCTCACTGTGATGTTGCCCATCTCACTGTCATGTTGTCCATCTCACTGTGATCTGGTCTATCTCACTGTGATGTTGTCCATCTCACTGTGATGTTGCCCATCTCACTGTGATGTTGTCCATATCACTGTGATGTTGTCCATCTCACTGTGATGTCGTCTATCTCACTGTGATGTTTTCCATCTCACTGTAATGTTGTCCATCTCACTGTGATGTTGTCCATCTCACTGTGATGTTGTCCATCTCAATGTGATCTGGTCTATCTCACTGTGATCTGGTCGATCTCACCTTGATCTGGTCGATCTCACTGTGATCTGGTCTATCTCACTGTGATCTGGTCTATCTCACTGTGATCTGGTCTAGCTCACTGAGATCTGGTCTATGTCAATGTGATCTGGTCTATCTCACTGAGATCTGGTCTATCTCACTGTGATCTGGTCTATCTCACTTTGATCTGGTCTAGCTCACTGAGATCTGGTCTATGTCAATGTGATCTGGTCTATCTCACTGAGATCTGGTCTATCTCACTGTGATCTGGTCTATCTCACTTTGATCTGGTCTATCTCACTGAGATATTATCCATGTCACAGTAGTATTTGTCATCTCATATAGACATGGCACCCAGTTAGACATGGCGCACAAATAGATATGGCACCCAGCTAGAAAAAACACACATATAGACATGGTACCCAGATACAAAATAACACACATATAGACATATCACCCAGATAGACATAACACATATAGACATGGCACAGATAGACCTGGCACACACATAGACATGGCCCACATATAGGCATGGCACACAGATAGACATTTCACACAGATAGACATGGCACAAATATTAACATAACACACAGAAAGACATGGTCTACAGATAAAAATGCCACACAGATAGACATAACACACATATAGACATGGCGCAGATAGACAAGGCACACATATAGGTATGGCACACATATAGACATGGCACAAATATTAACAAAACACACAGATAGACATGGTCTACAGATAAACATGGCACACATTTAGACATAACACACATATAGACATGGCACCCAGATAGACATGGCCTACAGATAAACATGGCACACATTTAGACATAACACACATAGAGACATGGCACAGATAGACAAGGCACACATATAGGCATGGTACACATATAGACATGGCACAGATAGACAAGGCACACATTTAGACATAACACACATATAGACATGGCACAGATAGACAAGGCGCACATATAGGCATGGCACAAATATAGACATGGCACAAATATTAACAAAACACACAGATAGACATGGTCTACAGATAAAAATGGCACACAGATGGACATAACCCACATATAGACAAGGCACCCAGATAGACATGGCCTACAGATAAACATGGCAAACACATAGACATGGCACACATATAGAAATGGCACACAGATAGACATGACACACAGATAGACATGGAACCCAGATAGACATAACACACAGATAGACATGGAAGACACATAGACATGGCACACATATTGACATGGCACTCATAATGACATAAAACACAAACAAACATATTGACATAACACAGCTAGACATGGCCTACAGCTAGACATGGCACACAGCTAGACATGGCTTACAGCTAGACATGGCCACACAGCTAGACATGGCACACAGCTAGACATGGCACACAGCTAGACATGGCACACAGCTAGACATGGCCTACAGCTAGACATGGCACACAGCTAGACATGGCCTACAGCTAGACATGGCACACAGCTAGACATGGCCTACAGCTAGACATGGCACACAGCTAGACATGGCACACAGCTAGACATGGCACACAGCTAGACATGGCCTACAGCTAGACATGGCCTACAGCTAGACATGGCACACAGCTAGACATGGCCTACAGCTAGACATGGCCTACAGCTAGACATGGCACACAGATAGACATGGCCTACAGCTAGACATTGCCTACAGCTAGACATGGCACACAGCTAGACATGGCCTTCAGCTAGACATGGCACACAGCTAGACATGGCACACAGCTAGACATGTCACACAGCTAGACATGGCCTACAGCTAGACATGGCACACAGCTAGACATGGCACACAGCTAGACATGGCACACAGCTAGACATGGCACACAGCTAGACATGGCACACAGCTAGACATGGCCTACAGCTAGACATGGCACACAGATATACATGGCACACAGATAGACATGGCACACAGCTAGACATGGCCTACAGCTAGACTTGGCACACAGATAAACATGGCAACATGATCTAGCTATTGTTAAATAAGCTGGGAGAAACACATCAAGATTATTGGGTTAAGTTGATTTTTATTTTATTCATAATAAAATCCGACCAGTGGTCAATAATGGTACAAAATTGCAATGATGTTTATAGAGGCTCTGATAAGTCATCTGTATTGATAGAAGGTTTGAAAGTATGTACATGCAAGGCAGCTCAGACCAACACTGAAAGGAAATTCTGAACAGGATTCAAACAAATAGAAATATAAAACTTTATACCAAAAATATATATAAATATATATATATAATCATTTTAAAACTTTCCACAAACTTAAAAAAATCAATATGAAAGAATTCACTTCTCCGTAAATTTACCCCCTTATTTACAATGAACTAAAGAATTCATTCCTTTATTGATACTGAACTAAAAACGTCGATCTCCTTATTGATACTGAACTAAACAATTTGGTCTCTTATTAATACTTAACTAAAGTATTCGGTCTCTTTATTGATACTGAACTAAATAATCTTAAATGAAAAGAGTTTTTAAAAATAAGTCTTGTCTGTTTTGATACTTGAAACATATTATTCAAAGACAAAATTTTAAGAAGCTATAACATAAATGAAAAGGTGCGACTATTTTGTTGAGATTGGAAAACTTGTAAACAAACTTATTACAACGTTTTGCTTCTATAATGCATGACTGACGATACCATCTGTTTAGCTACAGATTGTAGCCATCTGTTTAGCTACAAATTGTAGCAACTTATGAGGAAATGCAATTTTTCAAAATGAAATCAAAAAATCAAAAGCAATTATGAAAATTTTTGCTTTTTTTTATAAAAAATGTCATTTTAATTTGTTTGATTTCTCAATTTTTCAATTTTATTTATATATAAATCAAAAGAAATTATGAAAATTTTTGCTTGTTTTATGCAAAAAAAAGTTCAGGATATAAAATTTCATTTTAATTTGTTTGATTTCTCAATGTATCAATTTCATTTATATATCAATTTTAAAAATGTATTTTTCATAAAAAATTGTTATCCATCATCAAAACAGTTAGGTAAAATAATTACATTAAATAAATGTTTCTTAAAAGGTTCTAAAATTATTTTAAGAAAATAAAAAAGTAGATTACACAGTTGACAGTTTATTTTACAGCAAATACATACAATAATGATCTAATTGCATACTAATTATATACATATTTATCCCAGGACTGTTGTTGCATAACAGTGAAAGGGAGTTACTGACTACAGTCATATACAAAGGAATGTTATACAGCCCCATTGAGAATATTACGTACAACACAAATCAGTAAAAAATAAATTTCTTTCCGCCATTATGAACAATTATTTTGATTCAGTTATAAAATGGACACACAACTGTGAAAGCGATTAATTAATGAACAATGACTAGGAATGGAATAATGCTTTTAAAGTCTGGAAAACAACTCAACCAGAGGGCATACAATTGTTGATAAAAAACATTAATTGGAAATGCTGATCAACTGTTTGAAAAAAAAATGGAGTTACAAGTAAATGAAATTACAAGCACGTCAATTAAATGTCATTAACTTTAGACATTTTTGTGCAATGTAACAAGAAGTTCACGTTGGATATTTTGGGTGTGGGGGATGGGGAAGTGGCCGGAGGGGGTTGGATACAGTTTGATGGTTGGGGATTGACTTTGGAGCACTATAAGGACACAAAGGTCTGTAGGTGTCAGAGAGAGATTGACTTTGGAGCAATATAAGGACACAAAGGTCTGTAGGTGTCAGAGAGAGATTGAATTTGGAAAAATATAAGGACACAAAGGTCTGTAGGTGTAAGAGAGAGATTGAATTTGGAACAATATAAGGACACAAAGGTCTGTAGGTGTCAGAGAGAGATTGAATTTGGAAAAAAATATAAGGACACAAAGGTCTGTAGGTGTAAGAGAGAGATTGAATTTGGAACAATATAAGGACACAAATGTCTGTAGGTGTGTGAGAGGCATTGACTTTGGAACAATATAAGGACACAAAGGTCTGTAGGTGTATGAGAGAGATTGACTTTGGAACAATATAAGGACACAAATGTCTGTAGGTGTAAGAGAGGCATTGACTTTGGAACAATATAAGGACACAAAGATCTGTAGGTGTGAGAGAGGCATTGACTTTGGAACAATATAAGGACACAAAAGTCTGTAGGTGTAAGAGAGGCATTGACTTTGGAACAATATAAGGACACAAAGGTCTGTAGGTGTGAGAGAGGCATTGACTTTGGAACAATATAAGGACACAAAGGTCTGTAGGTGTATGAGAGAGATTGACTTTGGAACAATATAAGGACACAAATTTCTGTAGGTGTAAGAGAGGCATTGACTTTGGAACAATATAAGGACACAAAGGTCTGTAGGTGTAAGAGAAGCATTGACTTTGGAACAATATAAGGACACAAGGGTATGTAGGTGTGAGAGAGGCATTGACTTTGGAACAATATAAGGACACAAGGGTATGTAGGTGTGGGAGATATGTCTTTTCTTTTAATTAAATATTGACTAAAAGCATTCTAACAAATTGTAGGACTACTGAATAATGTTGAATTTCAGTTGAGGAAGGTTCTTAGTCGAAACGCTCTTCTTGTATTGTCATTTTTTTCTATTTCAAGCTTCCATATACCTTGTTCTTCTATTTCCCTCT